CCGCCGCCGCCGCCGCACCCGGGCCCGGGCCCGTGTCCGCGCTGCTCCGCGACCTCTCCGCGCTCAAGGCCGCCGTCATCGCCGCCTGCGCCCTCAGCGCCGCCCTCGTCGCCTGCCTGCTGCTGCGCCTCTGCAGGTACCGGCACCGGCACCCCCGGGCACTGCCGAGCCCAAATCACTGGGGAGTGGGGAACCCCCAGTCACTGGAAACCCCCTGTTGCTAGGGAACCAGCATCATTGGGGAGTGGGGAACCCCCATTCACCAGGGAAACCCCATTGTTGGGGAGCGGGGAACCCCCCCAGTCACTGGGGAACCCCTGTTGCTAGGGAACCAGCATCATTGGGGAGTGGGGAACCCCCATTCACCAGGGAACCCCATTGTTGGGGAGCGGGGAACCCCCCCAGTCACTGGGGACCCCCTGTTGCTAGGGAATCAGCATCACTGGGGAGTGGGGAACCCCCCATTCACTAGGGAACCTGCATTACTGGGGAACTCTGTCACAGGTGAACCCCCCTCCCCAGACACTGGGGGATAGGTGCTAGGCAGCTGCCCCCCCCCCACTGGGGAGGACCCGTGGCAGGGACACCCTACACTGGGGAGCTCCCCCCTGTCCGAGGGACCCTTGCCTCCAGGACTGTCTGGGATTGAGGGGATCCCCACTGGGGTCAGGAGCAGCTAGGGGGCACAGATCACACCAGCAAGGAGGATCCTTGGCCTTCCTTGCTGGGGTTGGGACTCGGAGGGCCTCTCTGGGCTGGGTCAGGAGGGGGTGGGAGGCTTGGGAGCCCACAACCTTGTCCCCCTTCACAGGGATCTCATGGCTGCCTAGGCCTAGGTGAGGCTCCCCTGCAGGCAGGGGATTGTCTGGGCAGAAAGGTGCCCTCTTTGTCCGCTTCCATCCCCACCAACCAGGTGGCAGCTGCCTTTCCTCGTGCCTGGGTTCCTCTGGACCTGCCCCATGCACTGGCACCAGTGCTTTGGGCTGAGAAGCCTGGGGAAAGCAGGGACCAGGCCATCACCTGCTGGTAGCCTTATTTCCTGTCTTCCTCAGTCCTTTCCTACATTTAGTCTCCAGGAAAAAACAAACAAACAAAAAACCTTGCTTGATTCAGTCAAAACCCAGTGACAATCTCCTGGAGCAGTTGCCGTGGCCAGCATGCAGCTTGCATAGAGCTCAGCAAGCTTGCAGAGCAGAGGCTCTCCGTCAGACTTGCACTAGCTTTACAATAGCCCTCCGTAACCGCCAGGCCCTGCACTGACACATTACTGGCCAGGTGTCTTAAGCTGTTCCGTGTGCACCTGTCATCCTGACCCCTCTTTGGGACTTCAGCAAACTGCTGGATTGTCAAAGGTCTCTGATGACATGGACATTGGAGAGCAGGAAATTCAGCAATGCAGGAGTGAGGCAGTATCTTGCTGGGGTGCCCAGTGCTCTTTGGAATAGACCCCCTGCTCGCAGCATGTCTAGATCTGTGTGCTCTCTGCAGGCTTTTCACTTTTAGTCACCAGAGAGGAAATGGGAGACTCCCAAGGCTGCTGGTTGTAGAATCGCAGTCTTTACCCAACTTGGTCTGTTAGGCTGGAGTCCCTTCTTGAACCATCCTTTGTAATAGCTGTAATTTTGCTGGAGATCCCTAAACTTCTGTCGAGTCGGAAACAAAACCAAAGCAAAAAAATGTGATGTTCCCTCCCGTGTTCTTGAACACTAATTTGGAAGTAGATTTCTTCGGCAGCAGGCCTCTGCTTTGAACGTGTCTGCAGGTTCTGGGCTATCTGTATTTGGGGTGTAGTTACCAGATGTGGGGATATATATAGGTGGCTTTGTGTTTCAGCTGAACTGTTCTTGGCCTGAAGCCCACAGACTTAGGTTTGGCTCAGGGAGGGGCCACAAAACAAGTAGGTGGAATCTTGTAACCTTTATACAGGTGCTCCAGGAGTTGGGAGCGCTTTAATTAGAGTGGCTTTGAGAGCTGCTCTAATTAAAGCACCTGGAGCATCTTGTGCATTAGCATCGCCATACTTAAAAATGGTGGTGGTGGGGGGCGCTTTATGTAAAGCTCGTCAAATGAGCTTTAAATGAAGTGCCCCCGCTGCCATTTTTAACCACGGGGACGCTGATGCACGAGACACTGGAGGTCGCTGGAGCGTGGCAATTGCCACGCTCCAGCAGACTCGATTAATTGAGTCTGCTCAGACAAGCTGTAATTGTAGTGCATCGGAGCAGCCTTGCTGCTCATGTATAGGCACCCTTGGGTTGTGGAACTGCTTTGGCCACGGTCCTGCCAGCCTTTGCACCTGCTCTCCTTGATGGGGTTCAGAGAGTGGACTTGTTAGTCCATCTAGTAAGTCTGTCCTTGCTGGGATATGCATGGCTACGTTGGTTAACACTTGAAACTCTGGTGTTCTTCACAGCATGCAATCCTATAAAAGTCAATTGTATCTTACAATAGGGGCTAAAAGGCATCACCTGCACATGTATATAGGGAATACAAGTTCTCGTTCCAAACAGCTTACAGTCTAGGAGAGTGCTTCGCTCTTGTCTGTTCACTCCTGACTTCACGATGGAAACCTGTGAAGCTTCAATAGTTAACAGGAATTCTGACTGATAGGTGTGTGCAAAAGAAAACAACCTGCAGCGTTGACTCATATAACTGGCTCTCCAGGAAATGGCAGTTGTTAGAGAGGGATGAAATCATGTCCCTTGCTTTAAGTAAGAGGCTGTTAAACAGGTTCATTTTGCAAATAGTTCTTCCCTCTAATCATAAGCAGCTTCTCTGCATTTGGCCTGGTGGTACCAACTGGCTGTTCTAGGCCTTCCCTGCTCTGTACCTTTGTAATCTTAATTTATCAATGCAGGAGGAGGAGGAGAGTTTCCGTGAATACTGTTCTAAAGAATTCAGGCAGGCAGGAACCCCAGGAAATTGGGATGTGGCATTAACTTTTTCCAGGGAACAAATGTTGAAAGATTTTTCTCTCGTCTTTCAGCAGCTGGCACAGTAAAGCAAGATGCGACTTGCCCAAGGCAAGACATTTGGTTTAGAAGCAAGTAAACAAAAATAGATTTTTTTTTTTTTTAAATGGCTATTCTTATCATGATCGTTGGCTTTTCCAGCATTGCACGCTGGAACTGCTTGGGAGAGCGTATATGTATTGCTGCTTAAGGGGACTGTACAGACAACACAGCTGATTGCTAAAAGCAGTGTAAAGGAGTGTGAGTTCTAGTCTTGGCTCTTCCCCTAATTGACCATAAGCAAGTCTAGTCTCCTTGCCTCAGTTGGTCCACATCTAAAAGATTCAGGAGTTCCCAGGATAGCATTCCTGATATTTCAGTAAAAACCAAATAGCCTCAAACTGTAAAACCCAGTGTTTCAAGCTTTATCCCTACATCACTTGGAAGCCAAATAAAACCCCAAGTCCAAATGTATGGAACAACGAGGGCAAGGGCAATAGCTGAACAAAAGCAACAGAGATGCTCAGGGAGATGGATGGAGCAGCTGCTTGACCAACTAAGAAGGCTAGGACTCCCCAGTTTGGAAAGGCTGAGTGGGGATAGGATAGCACTCTATATATAAAATGACCAAAGGATGGATAAAGTGAATTAGGGAGCTGTTTATTTACCAAATCCCAGAATACAAGAACTAGGCGATACCCACTGAAATGATCAGGCGGTAGGCTTAAAACAGAGATATGAGAGTACTTTTTTTAATGGAGCATGTCGTGTGCTTTGGGAACTCACTGCAACCAGAAGTTAGAGAAGCAGATAGCACAGCAGGGTTCAAACAGGGATTAGACACATTCATGGAGAACAAGTCCATGAGAAACTATGCAAACTATGAAAAATAGAACAATCGGGTATGTCTTCTCTCAGCTCCCTAAATGAGCGATCCAATAGGGAGGGTACAACATGATATGGGTCACTCTAGATATGCCCCATTCATATACTTCTTCTCTAAAGCATCTACTACTTGATACCATAGGCTGGAAACTGGGCTGGTGGACCATTGGCCTGACCCAGGACACTTAGGTTATCATGAATCACCTTTAACGGGAAGCACTGCTGAGATTTCCCATGCCAGACTTATTCCCTGCATGCATTGCTTGTGGTTGTAGCAGTGTTCAACTTATATAAAAGATTCCCATTATCGGGATCTCTGCCATGCCTTTAATAGAGACAGAAGGGCAGTTCAGACAAGGCAGCTTTAAACTTCTGAGCGCAGCTCTTTATCTGGCCCAGGCTTTTGTGTGTAAACCATTACTCAAGTAGCAAAATGAGACAAGAAAAATCAACAGCTATGCTTGTACCATGTCAAGCTTAGAGCTGGCAAAATAGACTGGGGAAGAATTCTGTTGTAGAAGAGATCAAGGATTTGCCTTCAATAAAATGAAAAGGCTTTCTTCATCAGAATGAAAGCTTTGCTCAACCCTTTTTTTTTTAAAAAACGTGTAATGGGGTTTTTTTTTTTTTTACTACTGTTGTGGATTCCTATTAGGGATTTTGCTGAAATCTTTGGTTAAACCTTTGCTATGAAATTACTCTATTTTTCTGGAAGTTAACTATCCATTTAGACATGGACTGTTTGAGATGGAATGAATAAGGGCTAGATTGGTTTCTTGCCCTTTCCCCAGCTTTCTAACTTGAGTTTTTTTGTGTGCAATGACAACATTTAAACGTG